TCTGTCATCGTTAGTAACTTTGAACTCTAAAACTATACTAGGTATTCTATAAATAAATATTTCTCACACCTTTTACACCATTTTGAGGGTTAGAACTTTTAAAGATTGGATCTAAAATATAAAACAACAAAAATAAACATGTTTCCCAGAAACCAAGGCTAAGTAAATCGAGAAAGATGGACAGCATTCTTACATGTTTTTACTGAAACCTGACGTACAGTAAATGTATTCTCCAAATCTATATGTTTGGCTTATGGTTTGACAAACAAGAAACTGGGACAGTCTACTCACCACTGCATCAGTTTTTCATTGATCCTGTAACAAATCACCCTAAGTCTGGTAATTTAAAACAGAGGTCAAAAGTCTGAAACAGCTGCCCTGAGAGAAAGCCACAGCACCCATGCCCGGGCTGCCTCCCCCGACACCCGAGGCGAGAAGCCCTGCCTTGCTCTTTCAGTCTCTTGAGGCCCCCGGCAGCTGGCTCCTAACCACGAGTCTCATCTCCAAAGCCAGCTGCCTCAGACCCTCTCCATGCTGCCCTTTTACCTCCCTCTTCCACTTAGAAAGACAACCACAAAGCTAATCCTATTAGGATGATCTATTTTAGGATCACCTGATTAGCAACTGTAATTCTGCTTACCAACGCAACCCCCTTTTCACCATGTAACTGGACACACTCACGGATCCCAAGGGAGTGGGCCATCACCTCTCCACAGCTCCTGCTTCCTCCAGCCGGCTGAGGGTCCTCATGGAGGGGACACCTCAGCACCGATGCCTGCTTCCTCCTTGTCTGCACCCCTAGTTCCCTACAGGTCAGCCTCCCTACACCACCGTGAGCCCTGAGTGTCAGAGCACTGCCTGCTCTGTCTCTGAGGACACAGCCAACATGCTCTGCTTCTGAGTATTTAAGTACAATGGATGTCAGCAGCTTAGATTCTAGATCATGGAAAGGACCATATATGAGAAAGTGAGGTCTTCACATGTAAAAGGAAGTCCGGCTCATAAATAATGCTTTCAGTCATTCTTTCTCTTTTTAGGTACACGTATATATAAAAATACATTTTATTGAATGTAAAGAAAAATTGCAACCAGTGAGTTAATATTTAAGACCACAGTGTTTGATGCTTTGTATTTTATCTTCTACAAATTTCTGAAAGTGTCACTTCATGAATAAATTATTTCACACTAAGCACAATTTTAGATTCATGAAGAATTTGTAGCAATCATTTTTATAAACAAGAGACTGACATTTTGCTGCAGAACCTCTCCCAGGGATTTACACCCAGTCAGCAAAGTCCCGTGGAGGAAGTCACACAGGCCCACTTGGGAAATCAGGACAGAACAATTACACAGGGGACAGGCGTTCCTCCACCAGGAACCTCCCCACAGCAGGCTCTCCATTTTAAAAAATACGTAATTCTCAAAATCTATTCTGAGAGTTGGAGGACTCTTCTGATACTTCTAATACAATCAGAAAAGCATTGGTGTAACTGTTCATATTTATTGGGGTTTTAAGGATTAGAATAATGATGAACTCGCTACATCTTTCAGAGACTGTAAATTTTATATTCAAGGATCCAGGAGGACAAAGCAATAAAAAAAGGACAAAGCTGCAATTATTTATAGCTAAGAGTTTAAAAATCAATACTTTCATATTGCCAGAGGGAGTTGACGCCACACAAATGTTTTCAAAATCCATTTGTCAAAAACATACCCTATTCACTTTGTTTTTACTCAGTAACCAACTTGCAGGGCTATCTCTCCAAGCAACTGTGTACCATATGGATAATGAGCACTGCGTGGAAACACTCACTATGGCTGGAAATGGATGCTTTGATATAGTTTACAAGCATGATAAGAATAAAGTCCACAAGAAGTTGGTATTGAGATGGAAACATTATACTAAAATATACAAAATAATTATTACACAGAAAACATAGTCTGTGAATTAAAAGAAGTTAGTCTGGGATTTGATTATCAAAAGTTCAGACAAATGCACACATGTTATTAGTATTCAATACAATGATAAGGAAGCAGTAAAATAATAGGAAGAAATAGTTTGGATGCAATGATCTCTCTTGGTGCTGGGTGAGGGGCTACACTTTGCATCTTTACCTAAGAAGCTAGACACATTTAACCTTAACAGTGATCACAGCAAGAAATGCCCAGGAGCTAAATCAAGAAAGCCAGTGAATCATCCTGGGCTGCAGGAAGAAGAATGGCCTGGGGTGGCAGCAAGAAAGAGCTCAGGGCACAGCACCTGCCTAGACAGCCTGCTCTGCACCATGACAGTGATTCCTTCCTGAACTGATACTTTTCCAGTCTCAAATGTGAGAGTTTATGAAACAAAAGGATTCAGAATTCTTTTTCATATTTTCCAATTTCTACAGAACTATGCTTATTTCCTAAGTCAGATGTGTCATAACACAAACCTCCTAACCCAGTTAGGCCAGCCAACCACCCATAATCACCCTAGGATCCCACCAAGGTCATATGCTGAGTCAGAAATGAAAGAACTCCCTGACACACACAGAAACAGGTCAATGATCTCAGGAATCTCTCTCTTTCTCTTTCCCTCTCCCTCTCTTTCTCTTTCTCTTTCTCCCTCTTCCTCTCCTCTCTCCCTTTTTGTCTCCCCTATCTCTGTTTCTCCCTGTCTCTTTCTCCCTCTCTCACACACACTCACTCTATCTTAGACCTCCACAGATATTTATTACGATGTATGTCTGGTTAGGTACGTGTTTCCTCTCTGGCTGACTAAAGAGGCCTAGAACTAGGACAGAGTTCAAGCCTCCTTTTCCATTTTTCTCATACTTCCCCACATACTACCTCTCTACTGGCTGAGGGAGAAAAAGTGTGACAACCCCATGAAAGACGACTCAGGCGACATACCTCACATGGACTCTGTCTTGCCCAGCCCTTCACATGCCCTCGCCCTAACACAAAAGTCATCTTAGTCTGGGACTAAGGTGTATGAGACATTTTAAAAACAGAACCCTAAGTCAGATACAACAAAGTACATACTTTGTGATGCTATTAAAAAAAGAAAAAGTGGTACCTTCATTTCACAAACCTTTCACAAATTATTTCCAGGATTCTGTTCATAAACCAAACTGGACAAGAACTGAATCAAATTCGATGGTTAAGTTGCACATTGACCATATGGGGAAATTTGATTCTGTTCTCTCCCAATTCATTTTGCAACCAGAGTCATGGAGAGAATTAAGTTTGTGCGCCAAGGTACTCACGCACTGGCACAATTCCTCTGTCCTGCCAGAAGCGGAGGTCAGTCACTGTTCTTGGGGTACAGCACCAGGAGGGTGGAGGAAGGAGGCGGCATAGCTCGTGATGCTGTGCTCCTAAATGCAGTTGCCGGTGCCACACACACAGAAGCTCTTGGTGAAGACCCAGCATGCCGTAAGATTGCATGTTCTACCCTGCACATATATTCTGACAGAATTTTTTAAATTTAACTTCTAAACAATTGCACTTTCTCCTCAAACATGAAATTCTTCAAACTGTGCAGAGCCCTGCAATTTCTCTGTCAAATTAGTGGTTCAACAAATATAAATAAAATCTAGACTTTGTATTATTCTTCCCTAATCTAGCATTGATCAAATAGCACCTGCGAGCAGTTATATACAGTGGCCTTCTGTTCAGCGTCTGGACACATGCGCCTGGCCAGCACACCATTTGCATGGCCTCAGGATGCACCAAGTGACACACACAGAGCACATCCAGCACCTCCGTGTGGAACCCCATCCCTCCCCAGCCAGCAGCATAGCATCAGCAGTGCTCCACTGGCCAATGCCTACTGCCAGGCAACAGTGCAGAGCCACAGCTCTCACGAAGCAAGACCACACCAGCATGAAGAGCACACCATGAGGCACACGAAAGGGCCAGGGGACCAAGTCACAAGTACACATTCAACTTCAACGTCTTCACTTTACACTTGGCTTATCAGGGCACAAACCACGTGAGCCCAGGCGCTCCCTGGCACACTGCTGGGCCTGCACCCAGCTCTGTGCCATCAGGTGATGAGCATGGATCTGCTGCCTGCTGCATAGGCAGCTGCACCCTATCAGGCCTCCTGTCCTCTAACATAAAACGGGCTGTCTAGTACCTACCTCCACGGATGCTGTGGCAATCAGGTAGCACATGCACACAGACTAACTAACCCTTATGCCTGGCATTCAGTTTATGGTCAATGATTTGTAATTGTGTACAGCAATGATAATGAAAACTTTTCTCCTAAAAGATGACTTTGTAGTACCTCTTGACAAAAGTACTCTTTAAAAGAATTATCTTTTAGAATAATTCAAATAAGATGTGTACAAAAAAGCTTTAGTACAGCTTAGCTTCTTGCCAGAGGACCTGCAGTCGGTATTCAAAACAAACTGGAGTGACCCCTGACAAACCAGTTACTCTCTCTGAACATCAGTCTCCTTACCCAGAAAATGGCAATAATCCTCACAACATCAATACCGAGGTCTCAGATCCTATTTGCAAAAGGTATTAATACTGCCTTGCACATCCAAAGGTTAATTTCAAGCATGTGGACTTGAAGAGAAGTCATTAAAGGGTTTCCACTCAAAGCAGAAAAAATTTAAGAGAACAATTTCCGTTCTTTGTACTGCATTTTTCCTCTTTTCTCCGTAGCACTCTTCGAACTGGCTTTCTGTTCCGATCAGATCAGCCCTTCTCAAAGCTACATAAGTCGATGGTTTTATTCATCTCCAAATCGCCAAGCTCTTCTGCCCGCTCCACGTGCACATCACCGCAGTAATAAACCTCAGCCTGCAAATCTAACTGCCAGGACTAGTCTGACATAACTATTACTCAGCCTGGGTAAACGGGACCCTCCTCCGGAAAGGGCACAGAAATGTTCTTGGACTATTTTTTTTTAACCATCAATAGGAAAAATTTCAGAACTACTTACTGAGCTCCCTTCATTCCCCACTTTGAACTAAGATACGATGACATCTGAGAATGAGGCTTACCTATTTGCACCATTTCTTCATTACCAGCCTAGAAAGGTGAGAGAAAAAAAAGACGGTTACTGGGTTTCGTCTTCTCACCACCTGCGTCTTACTTCTATCACCGCGCTTTTCAGGAGCTGCTAAGCAGGCATCGCAAGCCGCACAGTGCCGGGCTGCAGCTCCTGTGACAGGGGCAGGAGCCAATTAAAGCCACTCGGAGGAGGAAGACGTCCTCTGCGGTTTTAATTTTAATGTGGTGTTTCAGTTCTAACACTCGGAGGACTCCCGTGCTGGGTCAGGATCGCGGCAGCCTCCGCATCGAAACAGGCTGTTAGGAGCCTGGCCCGGGCCACGCGGGACAGCCGCCCTCCGCGCCGCGCCGCCCCCGGCCTCCTGGGGGGCGCCTGCCGCCCCGGCCCGCTCCGGCGCCCCGCCGCCGCGCGCCCCCTGTCAGCGCCGCACTCACCCGTCCGCCCGCGAGGGCCCCGACCTCCGCCAGCACGGCCGCGACCCACCACAGCGACCGCAGCACCATCGCGGGCGTCGCCTCAGGTGCGGGCGCGCGATGCCCGGCTCCCGGAGAAGTTTCTTTCACAACGAGGCGACGCCACCGCGGAGCGCGGTCCGAGCCGGGGCGCCGCAGCACGCCGCGCTGCTCCACCAAGAAGTTGGGAGCCGGCGGCTGGCTCCGCGCGGGCGGGCGGGCGGGCGGGCGGGAAGGTGCGGGGCTGCGCGGCGGCTCGGGCTGGGCGCCGGGTTCCCGGCGCGGGCGCGCGAGGCGAAGCCGCGGGCGGGGAAGGGGGAGGGGCGGGGAGGGGGAGGGGCGGCAGGGGAGGGGACGGACGGGAGGGGCGGTGCGGGCTCGCGGCGCTCCTCCGCCCTCCCGGCGCCCACGTCACGCGCGCCGCTGCCCCCCTCGGCGCAGGCCGGGACCCGGGGCGCGGGGGCGGGCGCCCGGCTGGTGGCCTGCCCCCGGGCGCGGGCGCGGGGCTCTCCCTGCAGCGGGCCGCCCACCGGGAGGAGGGCGCGCACCCCGCGCCTGTTTACGGCGGTCGCAGCGGCGCCGGGGATGCCCCGCCGCGCCTCCGATGGCTCGGGGTACCGCGGGGCGCACAGGCCTCGGCGCCCGGCCGCCCGCAAGATTAAGTTATCAAGAGGTTTCTGCCCCAGTGGCCGGGCCGCCCGGAAGGAGGAGCCGCCGACCTGGGAGCGCAGGGCTCCGGCCGGGGCTGTGACCGGGGCCAGCCTGTGCCCTCCAGCCTGCCGGCTGGGGATGGGACCTCCTGGACTCCACCTGAGCGGCCAGGGCCTTAACTGGACCGGCTGACTTCCTACTTACTCTGCTGTGAGCCGATTTCCCGTTCTTTTGTAAAAGCAGCGTGCTTCGGAAGGTTTCCTGTACCAGATTGTTTATTCCTGGAGAGCTGTGACTGTGACTTACAAAGCACAAGTCCGTGCTCAAGTGTTAGCAGCAAAGTCCCCTGGAAACTCTGTGCCTGGAACATTTAGGTGGCACGTGAGAAATCAAGTAGTTAATCACATAGTAAAGTGCGTATTGGTTATTAGCTGGAACTGGGGTTAGACCCCAGCATCTCTAAATTACGTTTTTCTTCAAATTAAGCCCCTAGCATTTTTATGAAGTGTAATTGACTTGCTATCAGGAATGATTTACTAAAATTGGCACGTGGTTTTCTTAGCCCTGAAAAAAACCCTAAACATGCTGTATATAAGTTTTACCATTACACCAATGAGTAAAAGAAAACTAGAATATAAATCAGAAGACCTAGGTTTTGGGCCCTGTTGTTACAGACGGCTAAGTTAGGTAGTAACGTTTTAGGCAGCCAGCCAGGGCGAGGCCCTCCAGACAGTCAGTGCTGAAATGAAAACTCATTACACCTGTGGCCAAGGAGCGTCTGCCTGAAGCCAGGCCTCAAGATAAAGACGGAATGACCAGACCTAAAATAAGTAGTACATCTGGTCTAATAAAATCTAGGTGACATCAGTCATCTGTGTGGGTGACCAAGGCCCTCAGGTTTACCCCTTTCTGAAAAGTTCTTTGTTCTTTCCATGTGCTCTTGCTCTGTGACTTGCTTCCACATTGGATGAATGCTACCTAGGCAGCTGTAACTTGTAGTGATACTAGTTGATCATAGCTGTAACCCAGGTTGCACTCACTGTGTGTGCTCTATAAAACTTCCCCTGAAAAGTAGTGTCCTTGGCAACCACTTGGGACGCCTCCTTGCTCTCAAGAGTGGTATCACTCCCACTCAACAAGTACCTCCTGCTCTTCTGCTGTTCCTTCAATTCATCCTTCAGTTTTGGGAACAGGAACTCAGTGTATTGGACACTTAGCAGGTCGGGAGTTATAATGCCCCCTACATCATTTGAAGCTCCTGTGACACTCCTCTATCACTGTCAGCATCTGACCTTCACAAGTACACTTCGTTACGGTTTATCCTTTAAAGATAGTTTCTCTCTAAAGTTCCTTGAAAAGTTCCTTTTCAGTAATAGCAACGGATTTAGCCATGGTGTTGCAGGAGTCCTTTCTGTGTCAGTTTGACAACATACAGACAGTTGTTACCACCTACACCCAAGCTCAGCAGGCAATTCCCATGGCTTACAGGAAATGATGGTTTCAGAAAGCTTGGTGTGATTGTGTAAATAATCCCATTTACACTGTGATTCAGTAAGGATGTTGAGTCATACTGCTTTTACACCACTGTATACATCAACCTCATATTTTCTCCCTTCTTGTTTTTTTTTTTTTTCTCTCTCTCTCTAGGTATTAGGAGCCATTTATTTGAATTCACGACCCAATTAGCCCAAGCTTTCACTGTGACAAACATTGATTTTAGCGTATACAGTAAGTTTTATATTGATTCTAGTTAATTGACTTCTAATTAACAAAGTTTTCCTCATGTAAGACAGTGTTTCCCAATGATTTGGCCCCTGAGTATTTTTACTAGAGAAAAAAAAAATTCTCTGTCAATTAAAATTTGTGAAATGCTCATATAAAAAATAAAATGGATGTCTTCATTTCAGACTGCACAGGGACTTTGATAGCACAAGTGCTGTGTGAGTTGGGAGTGTGGGGTACGTTGGCTCCATACTCATGGCTCCATACTCCATGACCCAGAGTGTCTTCTCATGCTTTACCCTGGATGGAACATGCCTGAAGAAACTGATTACAAACCCAGTTATTAGTGAGAGAGGTTGGATTAAGGTACAGGTTCAGCCTCACTTTTCTGAACTCTTTTTGATAATACTGCTTTTACAAAATTTAGATGAAACTTATATGTAAATTGTTTAGTACATTGTGTCAAATGTTTGAGGGCTATCATGTATATATATTTGGATGAAAATGATGATATAGTTACAAATGATTCACTGAGAATGAAATAGGCCAATTTCTAAGGAAAGTAAAAAATGCATCTGCTAAGACATGAGGGACTTAATTTCCTCAGAGCTAATGCCAAAACTTAAAGACAGAGTTGTTGAGTCCTTTTCCCAGACAACCCCTCCCTGCTTTTAGGGTTGAGTCCTCTCCTCTGTGTGTCCCTGGGCTCAGGCCCAGCTCCTCAGCCTGTGACCCCTTCCTCTTCCGGTCCAAGGACTGAGAATGACCTACTACAAGGGATGCACACATACACTCACCTCATGTTGTATGTTTTCTTTCAAAGTGTGTTGAAATTTATAAATAATTTCACAAGTAACCACATTGATGACCAAAGGCTAGCACGATTTCCCTGGTGCGAAAGTTGCAAAGAAGGTCAGTACACTCTGAGCACATCCAGGAAAATTATGTCTGTTTTTCCTGTCTGCTGATGAGCTTTGTTCTAGGTGCTGAGATTCTTATCACCTAGAACCAGTACAGATAAATATCAGAGCAGGTGCCCAAGTCTGCCACTGTGAGCCAGTGAAAGCAGGGCCTGCTGGCTGCCATGCTCCCCTCTGCCCCCTGTCCTCCTTGCCACCCAGGACGTGGAGCTGCAGGAGTGCCGAGAGAACCAAGGGGAGAAGCCCTTCGCATGCCTATTCCTCCCCTCACCCCACCCTTCTGCTTAAGTTCTTCCACCTGTGGATCAGAGCATCATGTGTACTGTGTGTAATTATTTGTGTTTTGTTCACTTTTCTGTTTTAATCAGTACTGAACTCTGGCTGGGAGTTGGGATGCTGAACTTCCACAATCCTGACACAGTGGATGCACTGAGGATATCCACTGGGTGAATGAGAGGAGGAACATGCACTTCTCAGCTCCATAGGCTGAAATCAGTAGCGTGTCCTTCTTCATCCTGTCGATGATTGATCTATTTCTAACTTGGGTCTATGTTTATAGAAGTTTTCAGAAGGCCCCTGAAAGAATAAAACACTTTAAACACCATGAAAATGTATGAGTGCCAGCACAAAGGAGTTAAAGATGGAAAAGCCCATTAGATCATCCCATCACACTGCATCGAGCAGATGAGGCACTGTTGTCGCAATCTTTTCCTTTAGAGGAAAACGAAGAGCTTGCAAGGATAAATGTGGGTGTCCAGGATTTTTTTTCGGTTAATCATTTGTTTTTACAAGAATAATTCCACAATGGAACAAGTCATGAGGGGAAAATTATTCCATATGTTCCTTGATTTTTGTTTTTCTTGCTTTAATTTTATTCCTTTCTTACCTATGACTGGGACCGTAAATATCCTTTTTTCTTTCCTTGATAAAGTTTGACGTAACAATGTATTTGGTTGTTTATACTCAGTTCATGTAAACAGATACAGCTTTCTGTATTCTTTTGTTGTCATAGTCTTTTTATTTCTTTAAGCCTTCAAAATATTTTTTTGCTTAGAAACTGTGAGTGGTAATGGACAATTAGACTCTTGCTGGATCAGAAGCTTGGAAACAAGATAATAATTAAAATTTAAAATTCTTTCAGACATTTCTTGTAATGAAATAATCATTATTTTAATAGCAAAGCATTTAGAAATATTGACAAATTAATTTGCATTTCTGCCATGTTTTTCTTCTTAATACTTCAATGAGTTCTAACATAATAGAACACTAAGTAAAATAGAAAAGTACTCAAAACCATTAAATTAACAATGTATTCCTGGAGAGGCAGGATTTCAAAAGCAGTGATGAGCTTTTCACATCTTGGACCACTCAATAAATATGATAAATTTGTTTAGCTAACCAATCCATATTAATTATTCCAAGACATATTTAAAGGTGTCATCAAATTGTTAAGTTCAAAAGTATAAGTTATGTAACTCACAACTCAGTGCTGCAAATTGAGCTTCTGCACAACAAAGAAAACCATCAACAGAATAAAGAAACAACTTACAAAATGGGAAAAACATTTTACCAACTACTCCTCAGCAAAGGACTAATATCTAGACTATAGAAAGAACTCAAAACCATTACCCTCCCCCCAATTTAAAGACTTAATCCTAAAATGGGCATCCAAAGTGAATAGATGCATCTCACATAAAGGAATAAACACAAATAGCCAATAAATATGAAAAAATGTTCAGCATCTCTCGCCATTCAAGAAATATCTTGGCCTTGCCAGCCAGGATCATGGGAGCTGCTTGGTGCTGGCCACAGTTTCTTTGGGACACTGAACAAAAGGAAGCTGGACCTAGCAACACTGAACCACGAGAGAAGCTGTGCACAGTTATTTTCCCTTAAATTTTTTTTATAATGATAGCTTTTTCTACATTTTACTCCTATTGTTGCAGCTAAGGTACATTTATAAAAAGAAAAAGACTTTTCA